GTGGTGCCCAGCGACAGGACAAGAGGCAATGGGCAGAAACTGAACCACAGGAAGTTCCATCTGAACCTGAGAAAAAACTTCTTCACTGTGAGGGTGACAGAGCATTGGAACAGGTTGCCCAGAGAGGTAGTGCAGTCCCCTTCCCTGGAGATATTCAAAACCCATCTGGATGTGATCCTGGGAAATATGCTCTAGAGGTCCCTGCTTGAGCAGGGAGATTGGACTAGATGATCTCCAGAGGTCCCTTCCAACCTAAACGATTCTGTGATTCTGTGATTTCTTAATTATTGAATTCTACAAGGGAAGATTAATGGCATTTCCAGTCCATTACGTGACTTTTCCTAGGCTTCAACTTGAACTGAAGTTTCCTCCATCTCACTAAAACAAATCACTCTTCATTATAGTGTGATTAATTCAGAAGAGTAGCAGTGCACTATAACAGGGATTTATCCTTCTAAAATATATTGCTATGCTAACATGAATTTAATTTACAACATAATCAATAAACTTAGTATGCTTTATTTGTGAACATATCTGTCCAATTCCAAAAAATATTGGTGATGGGAAGCTGAAAAATACAAACAGACATTTAATACAGAGGAAAAAAAGACAAGTTCAAAATTAGTACTGAAGTGAGCATCCAGACATGTGGATGACTGTCCAGAATCTCAGTAAAGCTGAGGGACTGCAATACTTACTGGAGTCCTAGTATTTTACTGTTGCAGCAAGATACAAGCCACATCAAAAATTTTAAGGAGTCAATTGTTTTTGGTATATTTATAAGTGAAGGTTTCATACTTGAAGAACTATAACAAAGCATAATTTTTGAGAGGCCTCACATATACAAAATATCCTAAGACTGCATGGTCAGTTAGATCTCTCGCACTTGTCTTCACTTGGAAGCTTATCTTCACAGCCAAACCAGGTTAACAGTATGTTTTCATAAAAGGAAAGTACCTATGCAAATGTTGTAGAAACACTTACTGGCTTCTAAAAAGGCTAAACCCCTACCATACCCTTTCAGTTAGCTTCAGCCGTAAGTATGGATGCTTGAATATTAAGAAAGCAGGAGCTTTAGCAGGACACTGGAAGAACCCAAGAGCCTCCAGGATGTTTTTTTTTTCTTAAATACACATCAAGTTAAAACAACAATAAAGCTGTGGCAGTAAGTGTTAATTCTCTGTGTGCATACTGAGATATAAGCAAAGAAATTATTTTGTATGGATAACCAGTAGAGTTTAGAACCTCTCTGACCAAAAGCTTTAGGTGTCGAGGAGCTCCCTAAATGTAACAGTCGCTACCTCCCAGGAATCATGCAGCATTTTGCTGAACTGCATTCTCATGAATGGTCACATATGAACTTGCATGTAGGGAATCTGAAATAAAAACCCATTTTATTCTCCTGACATGCCTGTAAAAAGAAATGCCTTAAGAAGTACCTGCCTTCTTGAAAAATTCTGTAATTTTCCATTACCACAAACTCCTTGAGGCTGTGGCTATGTATTGCAGACGCCACCAAGAACTGCTAAAATGCTACTTGGTGTGCTGAGAACTGCACTTCTGAAGTGAGTGACACTGGGATGGGAACATAGTATTAGCAAATGAAAGAAACACACTGAACCACGGCAGGAAGGTCATAAGGACACTGGAGCCATAACAGATAAGGGGTTAGGAAAGGCTATTCCAGGAAATAAAGTCATTAGGAAAAAGAAGAGCAGAAGAAGCGAACCTTCCATTTATAATCATGTTACACCTAACCTGCGTTTTAGCTTGTACTTATACTGACACCACATAAATACGGAGTTTTTATTCACCTATACTAGACAGTTGTTTCCACACTTTTTTGATTTGCAGATCCCTAAAAATTCCCAACAATGTTGTAGGCTCTTTATATAAATTTTAGGCTTACTGATGGTCTTGCTTTCCTCGATTGTCTTTTATGGACATGGTAGAAGTATGCCAGGGACTTATAGAGATCTGCAGACCATAAGATGAAAACCACTATAAAACAAAAACAAAACTCATCTCATATATCATATTTAGGAGACAGGTGACATAGAGCACTTATTTGTTCAAATAGCATTGAATATTAGAAAAGAACAGCAAAGTTTGCTTTTGTTTGCTTTTTTTCCCCCTCTTTTTGTTAAGTACTAGGAACTCATAATGAGCTAAAATGTAGCAAAACATAGGAAACGTTAACTCAAGAATATAGTTTTAAAAATCCTGAGATCACAGCTACAGGACTATGAGGACTATCCTATGGAGGATCCTCTTGCACCTCTCCTGAGAAGCCTGCATGCTCGATTGGCTCTCTGAAATGCCTGTACACCAATGCACGCAGCATGGGGAATAAGCAGGAAGAACTAGAGATCTGTGTGCGGTCACAGGGCCATGATCTCATTGCAGTTACAGAGACATGGTGGGATAGTTCACATGACTGGGATGCTGTCATGGATGGCTATGTGCTTTTTAGGAAAGAGAGGCCAGGAAGGCGAGGTGGTGGAGTTGCTCTTTATGTGAGGGACCAACTGGAATGTGTGGAGCTCTGCCTCGGGGTGGATGATGAGCGGGTCAAGAGCTTATGGGTAAGGACTAAAGGGCAGGCTAACATGGGGTGACACGGTGGTGGGGGTTTACTACAGGCCACCTGATCAGGAAGAGGAAGTCAATGAGGCCTTCTACAGACAGCTGGAAGTAGCCTCAC